CATATTGAATGATACGAAAAATATCTCTTTTAAAAGCTTAAAACAGTTGATTTTATTAAAAAAATTTTAATATGGTATTCGTTCACCATTTTTTTGTATTACAAGCTCACATCGATTTTGCATAGAATTTTCTAAATTGATTAGGACATTATGCGGAATATTTTGCCATTCCTCTACCATAAATCGTTCTAATTCTTCACAATTTCGTGGCATCCTTCTCTAAACGTTTGTTTTAACGATACTCCATAAATTTTCAATGGGGTTCAAATCTGGGCTATTAGATGGCCAATTTATAACATTCAGGACATTTTCTGCAAGAAAAGACCTTTGCAAGGCGACTTGTATGCTTGGGGTCATTGTCTTGCTGAAATCTCCATTCATCCCCAAGCATTTCTTCAATTTGTGTAATGTGCCCGCTAAGTATTTCTACATAAAATGAAGCATCCATGATTTGTTTAAAACAAAAAAGGCTTGTTTTACCTTCTACACAAAAACCGCCCCACGCGTGAATTTTGGTACGATCTTTTGGCATTCTTCGAACTGGCCTTTTGTTCTTATACCAACGTTCTACAGTATCCCTGAATAATAAAAATGACGTTTTATCAGTAAAAAATGTTTTATTCCAATCGTCATTAAGATGTTGTTGTGCCCATTGTACACAGTTTTCTTTGTGAACAGCTGTCAACATTGGCGTAGCTATTGGCAAAGCTTTTTTATAACCCTTTTCATATATGTGTCTAAGAATGGTTGAATAAGACACTTGTACATGGTTTATTAATAACTTTGTTGCCAATGTTCTAGTCGAAACTGATGTATCTCTGCGTATATATTGTCCCAAAGCTCTTGATGCATCCGCAGTAAATTTTTTTTGATGGCCATTTCCTCTAGCATGATTCAAATTACCGGCTGTTTTTAATTTTTTTATATTATCATAGATGGTAGAAAGGAGTATATTCGTTCTTTTGTTTATTTCCTTGGTCTCACATATACCATTATTCCATAAATGTAATATGGCTTGACGTTGTGTTTCTTGTCTCGAAGTAGGCATGTTATAGTTAATTTTTTTAACAGGCAAAAAAGATTATCAGTTACGGAAGATCTCAATATTTAATTTCAAAACATAAGTTTATTTTGATTTTTTATAAAGCACGAATTAGATTTAATTTTGGGAAGCTATACATGTTTTTAGCTCACATAAAATTTTCCGGTTTTTTTTGAAACATACTGTAATTCATACTAACATTAATACAGGAAATACAAATTCCATATTAGTAATATTAAAATGATCAACTGATGTCTGGCTGACAGTATTGGAAATTCAATAATCTTGTGATCTGCATAAAAAAAATTTGTGCACATATGATCAAATTTATAAAGTTACAAATTATGAAAATAAAGAGCTCTATGAATTAATCCTCCTATTTTTTTTATCTTCACAACATTCACATGCTTTCTCAGAATTAAAGTCTTCAATTTCAGGTCCATTTAATAAAATCATTAAATGATTATTTAATGTATCAAGATTTATTTTGTTCCTTAATTTATTCTTAATCAATTTTGTTTGGGAAAATATTCTTTCTATATTAGCATTTGAAAGAGGTATAATAAGAGATATTTTAACCAGAAGGGATATGTTTGGGTAATTAAAAGTCTTCCTTCATCTGTGTCAAAAATGAATTTACAAAACATATTTTTATTTGGTACTATGTATTACACAGTGAATCTTGATTTAGTGGATAGTTTAGGCAATTAGAGAAAATTTTCCAAAAATCTTTTAAACCAAGATATCCACTATATCAAGAAGGTTTTATTAAGGTTTACTATGGAACCATTCTTTGAACTTTATCCATAAAACCAAGATTTTTAATTAGTATCTGCTAAATCAAAATTCACTGTGTATAATTTGCACATATGATCCACATTTTTAATGTAACATTCTGCGTCTGCACCTCTGCACCCTGAATTTCCAACAGTGCTGACTGATATTAATAAAAATTTTAAACACTAAATTCTTGGTACAGTGCAGATCATCTATACTCAAAAGTTAAAATTTTTGAAATATTATGTGATCCACACATTTGATTTTTAAAAACCCACCACCATTCAATTCAGCATTAAAAAGGGAGTCTATTAATCTAAAAAAAAATTTGTCTCAAATTTTCTTTTTCATAGATTTTTTAAATTTGAAAATTATGCTCAGAAGTGCAACAATAATTTTCGTGTTACAATATTTTGAATCTCACGACCAAATTTGGTAATGATTTTCT